AGGCACTTTACCATTGAGTTACATCCCCAGCCTTTAAAAAATTTTTTTTCTTTTTAGAACAAACAGGAGAGTTTATTTTGACATATTATACATACATGGAGTATGACTTCTCATTTTGTACATGAAGTGCTGTTACACTGATTGTGTATTCATATATGAACATAGGAAAGTTATGTCCAATTCATTCTACTGTCTTTCCCCCTTCCCTTCATTCCTTTGTCTAATCCAATGAACTTCTATTCTACCCACTCACCCCTCCTTTGGGTTTTTGGGATTGGCTTATTTAGCATGATAGTCTCTGTATACTGGCAAATAACATAATTGCATTCTTCTTTATGGCTGAGTATTATTCCATTGTGTACATATACCACATTTTCTTTATCTATTCATATGTGGAAGGGTACCTAGGTTGGTTCCATAGCTTAGCTATTGTGAATTGAGCTGCTATAAACATTGATGTGGCTGCATCACTATAGTATGCTGATTTTAAGTCCTTTGGGCATATACTGAGAAGTGGGATAACTGGGTCAAATGGTGCTTCCATTCCAAGTTTTCTGAGCAATTTCTATACTGTTTTCCACGGTGGTTGCACCAATTTGCAGTCTTACCATCAATGTATGAGCATGCCTTTTCCTCACATTCTTACCAACATTTATTGTTGCTTGTATTCTTGATAATTACCATTCTTACTGGAGTGAGATGCAATCTCAGTGTAGTTTTCATTTGCATTTCTTTAACTGCTAGAAATGTTGAACATTTTTCCATATATTTATTTGCTGATCATATTTTCATTTTGAGACAGGGTTTCTATAAGTTGCTTAGAGCCTTGTGAAATTGCTGAGGTTAGTCTTGAACTTGCAATCCTCCTGCCTTAGCTTCCTGAGTCACTGGGATAACAGATGTACACCACCATACCTGGCTCAAATTGCTTCTTATTTATATATAATAAGCAAATGCACTAATGAGCCTAGATTGTATCCTAATTATGGAAAATAGAAAAAATAGCATATAAGACATTATGAGTACAATCATGGAAACTTGACTAGGAACTGAATATTAAGTGATCTGAGAGAACTGTTTTCTCAATTGAGAATGATATTGTGGTTATGAAGCAAGTATCTTAATGCTTAAGTATTTTGGTATCTCCAACTTATTCAAATGGCTTTACCCAAAAAAGCCTATCTGCCAGCTGTGGTGGGTCCCATTTGTAATCCCAGTTACTGGGGAGGCTGAGGCGGGAGGATCACAAGTTCAAGGTTAGTCTGTGCAATGTAGCAATTCTGTGCAATGTAGCAATACTGTCTAAAAATAAGAAATAAAAAAGGCCCGGCTGTAGCTGAGTGATAAGAGTGCCCCTGGGTTCAATCGCTAGTACTGCCAAAAACCAAACAAAATCCCACAAATACCCCCAAAACACTTATCCTTTTTTTTGTTTTTAAATTTGAGAGTTTTTCATAAATAAAGGATGTGAATGAGGGGAAGAAATGGTATCTTATAAAAGCTCCTTAGCTAAGAGCAGTAACTTCTGATTGTTAACTTCAGTCTTCCTTTTGGGTTTATAGAACTGTTACTTTTCTTCAAAATTTTGATGTTGCACACAAAATTATTCAGCTTAGCAGTCTCAACCCCACCCAAGTGCAAACAGTTTTTTTTTTTTACTTTGCTAAACTTTTTAAATTGATTTTAAAAAATGACAGCAGAAGGCATTGCAATTCTTATTACACATATATGCCACAATTTTCATATCTGTTTTTATATAAAGTATGTTGACACCCAATTTGTGTCTTCATACATGCACTTTGGATAATGATGTCTATTTTATTCCACCATCCTTGCTAATCCCCTGCCCTATCTCTTTCCCTCCCATCCCTCTGCCCTATCTAGAATTCATTTATTCCCTCATGCTCCCCCTCCCTACCCCACTATGAGTCAGCCTCCTTATATCAGAGAAAACATTTGGCATTTGTTTCTTTGGGATTGGCTAACTTCACTTCACCATTGCCATCCATTTACCTGCAAATGCCATGATTTTATTCTTTTTTATTGCTGAGTAAAATTCCATTGTGTATATATGCCACATTTTTTTTTTTATCCACTCATCCACTGAAGGGCATCTAGGTTGGCTGCAGAGTTTAGCTATTGTGAATTGTGCTGCTATAAACATTTTTTTAAAAAAATGTTCTAATTAGCTGTACATGACAGTAGATTGCATTTTGACACATGATAGATAGATGGAGTACAATTTCTCAGTCTTCTGGTGGTACATGATGTAGAACACACAAAAATATGGAATGATTCACGAATTTGTGTGTCATCCTTGAGCATGGGCCATGCCAATCTTCTCCTTATAATTCCAATTTTAGTACATGTGCTGCTAATCAAGCACATGCAAGTAGTTTTTAATCATACTTAAATTAATAATATGTAGCAACAACTTCAAGTTGGCCCCAGAAGACAAAAATCCAGCCACATAAAGTTCTTTACACTCCTACAGTATTACACCGGTGCACATTCACTTTCAAATAGCAGAATAGTTTTTCATTTCCCCCCAGTTCTATCTGCATTAGGGCTGGTGTTTGTTTCTTTTTTACTAATATAACCCCAGACGGATTTTCTTCTGGCCCATTGTACACAACTTTAGGACTTTCAGAGGAATCTTTTTGCCCAACCACCTATCATTGAATTCTATTTCAAATGTAAATATATATATTTTTCCATGCTGGGGATCAAACCCAGGGCCTCAGGTATGCCAGGAGAGCATTCTACCACTGAGCCACATCCTTAGCCCTGTAAATATTTCTTGAAATTACTAATTTCAACCTGCAATTTAAAAAGCAAACCCAGTAAGAAACTCAGAATCACATTTTAATGCTCTTTCGTCATTACTCTGGGATGTAAAAATGATGCAGGTTCAGAAGAGAACTGTGCGTACCAGGAAGCTCTGACATCATTTTAAAGTGAGCACACCATGACAAGGCAGAGTTGTCGTTAATATTCAAGATCCACCATACACACATTAAATGAGTTTAGTTTCTTTGCTACCAGGTTCTTGGAACGAGGCAGTAAAGTATGTCAATACTTCTCTATGGTCCGGCAATCTCAGAGGCTCCTAGGGTCAAAGGGATTTCATTTATTTTTAGCAACTGTTGTCTGGTGTCCAGGAATGTGCTCATGTGATCTGAACGTTAACTGCTGGCTTGGGACAGGCGACCCAACTGTCTTCAGAAGAACGACCGCGAAGGCGAGCCAGAGGGGGCCCGACCCGCGTGCCTCCCTTACCAAGATGGCTTCGGGGCTCGACCCGCCGGGCAGCCATCTTGGTGAAGGCGGGGGCAGCGGCGGCCGCGGGACAACGTTGGCCCGGGCGCCAGCTTCGAAGGTCACAATGAGAAAGTCACCAGGCAAGGGGGAGCGGAACCTTGCTGCAAGCCGGGCCCCTCTCGGCCTGGGGGCGCCCGGGGCGCTGCGCGCAGCCCCGGTGACCGCTCACTCCACGTATGGCGAGGCGGCCAGCGCTCCGGCGCTGCCTACAGCTGCTGGCACCCCTCGGCGGAGTCGGCGCGGCGGGGCCGGGGGCGGAGGAACCCGAGCGCCGGCCACCGCGGCCCCCCCCGCGGCGCTCGGGCACTGTGGCTCGCAGCCCAGGAGGAGCAGCGCCGGCGACGCGCGCGCCCGACTGCCGCCGGCGCAAGGTGAGCCCCCGCCCTCACCCCGCCCCCGCCGCTGCGCGCCCGTCGCAGGGAGCCAGAGCGCCTGGGAGCCTCTAGGCTCCGGGACTTGGCGGGAGGCGGTTTCGTCCCGGCCACGCTTTCTCGGGCATCTGTGCTGCTTCTGCCCGGGTCTCTGTGTGGAGCAGTCCGCACTCCCTAGCCTAGGGCTGTGGGAGCCGAGCGTGCTGCGACCGCGTATCCTAGTCCCCAAGCCCTGCCTCCTGGAGATGCTGCACTTGTGAGTGGCAGGGCTTCATTTGAATTTCCGCACCTGGAGAGTTGCGGAGCCTAATTCTCTGACGCTGACTGAGTGAAGAACTACAGTCTTCTTTCTGCCCCCCTTGGGAGAGTAGCTGTCTGTGCAAATTACCAGGTTGCATCTTCACTGATCGGAATACAAGTGGGTGTATGTATCTTCTTTTGGTTTATATGTAGGAATGGGTCTACAACTTCCTCAGAGCAACTTATTTATGCTTCATCTATAGTATATATCGTCTAAAAATCCATTCCAACAGGGTTCTTCCCTTTTATCTTGAACAAGTGTGATTATTGAATCAGAATAGGAATGGGGGGGCAAGGGAAGGGGTGGTGGGAGGCAGTACTGTCTTGAGTTTTATGTTCAGTGGTTGTTGGCTTCTTAAATTGGGTGTTATGCAGGCTTTTCAGAACACGAATTCAGATAGTTCCCCCCCCCCATGGAACTAGACATGGCCCTCATAGTTGCGTTTGCACGGGGCCCCCATGGTCTGAGGTATAATTACCTCAGTTGAACCTGGAAAATATTAAGAGTGAGAAAAGTTAACAGCCTTTTAAAGTCATTTAGTTCTTGCCTTTCCCTTTACTGTTGGTTCTGTATATGTTATAATATGACTTGCCCCGTTGGCTTTGGCTTAGCACGAAGTGTTTGCTATTGATAATTCTGTTTTATTTATTCAGAAAGTCACTCCTGAGATAGTTTACTGCAAATTAAGAAGTAATTTTCCATCGTTGTTAACAGATGGAAGTGTAACAGTTCCATTTCTGTTTTGTTACATTGGCTATGATTTAGTAATACCAGCATCGTTTAGAAGGAAGTTATATAATCTTTAAAAAGAAAGATTTCCCATGTCTCACAGTAGTCTGGTTTTGCTGCACGAAAATATTAGGTCTATTAAAGAAGGAATTTACAACAGGTATACTTATTTAAGATAAGAATCTAAGAAAGAGATTGGGGGATTAAAATGGGTTATGTCAACTGAAAATATAGCCATGATTTTCAAGGATTTTATTTTGTTAATAGTCTGCAGGACTTCCTGCTGCAAGAATTATGGTAAGTCTCCAAAAGAGGAAAGAGGAAAATACTGAGTGTATTTCTCACACCCTTATTTTCCCTCACAATTCCAGATTATATTGGACAGATTCTACATTGTAAGCTTGAATGCTTAAATTAGTCCAGTTATGACTATATAAAGGACATTTTAACATAGGCATTTCACCATAGGGTTTTGTTTATACTTTGATACAGTCATCCTCATGTGTTTGTTTGTAAGGAGAATTATGTTACTTGGGTATTTGTGAGTTCAGAAAACTGAGAGGATTTTTATGAACATTCCATTTGCGTTTGGAAAAGTAGTATTTTTCCTTTAATTTTGTTTTTTTGATTTTGATTTCTCTTTGAAATGGTGGCTACCTCTGAATACTGTGGGTTTTTCCATTCATTTTCTACTTTGTGACTAAGGGTATGTCTATATGGAGGGTTGGGTTGATCTGGGCATTTTAGATTTAGTACATAGAAGTGAAAGTCTTTTCATTGAAGTGTCATTAGGGAAATGAACTTTGCACATAAGTAATCATTAAGGAACATTTTTATTCTGAAGGTCTGTGTAAGCATGCATAAAACTGGCATAAAAATTCACTCATGTGATTTCCAGCATAAGGTTCAAGTACTGTTTCATTCTACCTTCTTTAATCCTGAAGAATTATACACTCTTGTGGTTTATAGTGCATGGCTCAGTTTGTCTTTTGAATTTGATACCCATTTATTGTGTATTTATGTTACTAATAGTGTTTCGCAATAGATTTTATATAATTAGATATCTTCAGGGTAGTTCTATGTCATAGATACAGTCTTTTTCCAATTTATCTGGTTAAATAATGTATTATAACTTTATGATTTACAAAGCTCTTTCAAATATTTTTATATATTTACTTTTAGTTGACTTTATAGACATAAGAATGTGGGATTATTAACCCTATGCCAGGAAGAGGAAAAGACGAATCTGAGACCATGGGAGATTTTAATGATTTGGACAAGGTTCTTCAGCTCAGCAGCCCCGTTCTTGTTAGACAAGGGAACTGAAAAAGCTAAGGATGAGTAGTGTGCATCACTAATACATCTGGAGATGCATCCTAAACCTAGGTTGTGGACTATCTGTACCATTGGTGACTGAGGCTAGGGCTGACATATAGATGGATGGATCAGCATAATTAAAAAGCCTGGTTAAAAAACAACTCTAACCCCTGTCTAGAACAATCTGTCTTTCCTCTTGAAGGCAGCAGATTTTTGTGTTTATCTAATTTGGGAACCTTCCCAGATTAACAGACAATAACATATTGATCAAACAATGAAAGCTTGCAAAGTTCTGTGTGATTTTGTAGTTGCTTTGTTAAAAGAGTAAAGTTATTGGGATAAAGAAAGTCCAAGCTCTCTCATTGTCATTAGCACCCCTTAAACTGGGCACATGCTTGTTGTTTTCCTTATGAGACAATTATGCCAGGAAAATTGAAAGACAGCAATAATTTGGTTTTTTTTAAAGGGTTTTCTTATTTTGAAGCTCCTTTGAATTGAGAAGATATTTATTTCTTTTCAAGTTTCTGTGTTCATTCCTTTGTTTTGTTTAGAGAGCTCATAAAAAAACTAAGCTACCTCCTGAATATATGGTTAAATAACTAGATAAAGCTTCAAGAATTTCTGAACCCAAATTCCTTTTAAACTTGAGGCTTTAAGTAAAATACCCCACATGAGGTGAAATGTGTCATTTATCTTCTTATGCTGACTGTATGCTCTTTGGGAAATTTTCATAAGAAGTTGTCTTATTTATAATTAAGATGAGAGTATGGCTAATAGAGAGTCTAGGTTCAATCACCAGCCAGAGAGACCCTTGGGGTGGTGGGTAACTCTCTGGACAGACTTGCTTTACCTGTAAAGAGTCATACAAATGATAGCTTTTGTCTTGGAATATTCAGGTTGGAAGGGACCTTGAAGGGTATGTGCTTACCTCAGCTTTTAACTTGTCTATTGCCTATTTCTACCCTCATCAGAGTTTTAGCCTGTCATGATGTCAAATCTATTTTTTTCCCACCATTTCACAGAGATGAGATAAAGTTCTTGAGTAAATTGATTCCTTTCTCAGTCTTGCCTCATACAGTGTCTCAGTTTTCTCTGTAAGTACACGTAATGAATATCATTACAATGAAGAATTTTACCTAAGACTTTTGATATTCTCAGCAACATTGTCTTGGTTAAGCATGGTTATGTAGAAGTTTGTAATTGCTTTTTTACAGCCAACCAAATATTTTTAAACCATATTTAATAATAATGCTTCATTATTATTAAATATGGTTTAATAATAAACCTCTCTGCCTCTCTGTCTGCCTCCCACCACTCAGTGCGTGGGGGGGATTGGACCCAGAGGTGCTTTACTACTGAGTTACATACATCCCCAGTCCTTTTTATTTTTTTAAGATAGGATCTCTTGAAGTTGCTTAGGGCTGAGATTGACTTGAATTTTTGATTCTCCTGCCTCAGCCTCCTGAGATGCTGGGATTAGAGGTGTGCACCACCATGCTTGGCTAATGCTTCATCTCTAATTTAGTATAAACTGCCCACAATTTTATAAGTTTTCTTGAAGACATATGCGCATTTTTATGGTACCCTACTGCATAGGATGACCAGCCTTCTAGGTTTTTGTAGGACTGAGGGGCCTCCCAGGATGCAGAACTTTCAACGTGAACACTAGAAAATCCTCAGGGACCAGATGCTTTGGTCTCCCTACCAGAAGTTGTCTTATTTATTTATTTATTTATTTATTTTTGAGTACTGGGAATTGATCTCTTTCTGGGGCATGACTAACAATTCTTCACAATTAGAAGGATAAAATGCCAGGTCATTATATGTTATATGCTGGCTGAATGCAGACACCTTTTCAAATCAAGAGGAGTATGTTCAAGGTACCAGGTATATTTTTTGTTTCTATGACTGAAATATATAATCAATTTATTATTTGTTGATGATTCTTTTTAATTTTAATTAAAATAGCTAAATCACTTGAAGCTGTCTCCATGTAAAATTAAAGGGATTATTTTTATGAGGAAAGTGCTATTTATTGTCTACTAAGAGCTTTTTACTTTGAAAAGAAAAAAAAAGAAAAAAATCTTAAAAGCAAAAAAGGCTAACCTTGTTAGTGAGACCACAACCATTAACTAAATGATACCAACTTTAGAATGTAGTTAACCGCTCAGGATACATTTGTTGAATTTTATTTGTAGATTCAACATGTACATGGAAAGAGCATGGGCTTGGCATCTGATCAACTTGGGTCTCTAGATTTTTGACTTAATGCAAGCTACTAAACTCTGTGAACCTCTGTTACATCATTTGTATGTAATTTGAGGATAATGATATCTATCTTGTAGAAATATTGTGAAGATTAATGAGATTGTATGCTCACACATATACATAATATTTCAAGTGCTTGGCACATAGTAAATGCTTAATAATTGATAAAGGGTACAATTATGTGTGTTACTCAGTGTGCCCATGGTTTGAATTAGGAAGGCTATGTTTTGGGAGATGATTACCTTTAGGGTTTTGTGTGTGTGTGTGTTACTGGGGATGGAAGCCAGGGCCTCACACGTGCTAGGAAAGCCCTCTACCCCTTAGCAGCAATCCGGCTCAAACTTTTAGTGTTTTTATAGCTCCCCTAAACTTCCCAGTTATGGCGATATATCAGTTAAGATTAGTTTAGGTTGAAAGATTGCTCAAATATGTTTTCTCCTCTGAAGAGAAGTGCGGAGTTAGTGCAGGCTTAGTCTGGTGGACCCTCAAGACCTTCCATGTCTCCTCTATGCCATTGCAAGAATGTGGCTAAAGATGGCTGCCAGTAGCAAGATCTGGAGGAATCAGGAGTTCCTGCCTTTTCTTTAAGGAAATTCCTGGAAGTGCTATATATGACTTGTGCTGGGAACACACTGGTCAGTGTCACCAACATGGCCATCCCTCACTGGAAGGCTGGGGAGTGTAGTCACTGTCCCTGAGGAGAAAGAGGAGACTAGATTTTTTATGATAGGCACCTTCTAGTCTTTGCTACTCTATTACCACGCCACCACCACGGAATCCACTCACTCAGCTCTGACTTTTCAGTGAGT